GGCTTGTTTTGTTTTGACTGATTCCATGGAAAACTGTAAATTTTCAAGGAGCAGCTTCCTAATCTGGTTATGCCTTAACACATATTCCCTCCTATCCTCTCCTTTCACAGGAGGAATTGGCTTGGATATCACCCCAGGCAAGAGTTGATTTGCCCAACGAATCCACAGGTCATAACTTAATGGATCTGACTTAAAATAAGAAGAGGATTAAAAGGAGATAAATAACAAACAGGGTTAAAGTAAGAGAAATAATAAATAGGGTTAAAGTAAGATGGGATCTCAGAACTCCTCACAGAAGGGCTGGGAGGAAAAAAAACCCCACCTAATTAAACATGGGAATGTTGGAATGGGAGTGTTGGGGGGGGGTTTCTTATGTCTCTTTTACACCTGAGGTTTTCCAGGGGGTTCCAAAGGAGGGCAAGACTTACAGGTTTTAATTCCAACCAGCCAACATGCAGCCTGTACTTCTTCACCTGAGGGTTTGGAAGTGGATGTGTCCCTGTGGATGTGGGAATTCCCACGGGATGTTTGTCTGAGATTGATTAAATCACATTTAGGCTTCCTAAATGTCTGGTGGATCTACAATACTCCATAATGATGGGGGGGGGGGGAAAGGATATTTCTCCTACATGTTTTGTCACTCCCAGAAAATTCTCTCTTTGAACTAAAAGGCCTCATGGAAAAAAATATATCCAGGCTTTGCTGAGGAGGGTGTTGGAGCTCCTGGAAGGTGAACACAGCTCTGGGGCTCAAGGAACTGTGATTAATTCCTAACAGATTCCTAACTAGAATAGGAAGCTCCTCTTGAAATTTACTGTTTTCCATGGAATCAGTCAAAACAAAACAAGCCATGCTAAAAGATTATCCCATCGGATCGGTTGTGGGGTTTCCTATCCCTTTTTCTGACCTGATTGGAATTATTTAGGTTGGGAGAGACCTCTAAGATGACCGAGTCCAAGCATTAACCCAGCACTGCCAAATCCACCGCTAAACCAGGACCAAACCAGGTCACCAATTGCATCAACAAACTTTTTTGGGGGGGGGTCAGTCTCACCCCTCCTGCTTTGCACGGTTGTAAACCCAGCATTCCCTTAGCGAGGATAAGTAAAATAAAGGGGGAAAAAAAAAAATAACGTGGGTTTTAAATGGTTTACAGGGGGAGAACAGCTCATCCTTCTCCACGGTGTTTTACTTTGCTTTTGAAGAGCAACACTTCACTTTTTTCCCCCCTCTGCTTTCCCCCAGGGACTCCATTACCATACATTCCGTGGCTCTGACATTGGAAAAGCAGCAGTACTTTTCCACTTAACTCAATCTCAGTTATTATTTCTCCTGCAGCAGCAGCAGCACTCGGCGCAACTCGGGAAATGTCAGGAGGCACAAAACAATAAGGAGGCATTTGAATCGTATCTCTCTCTGCCTCGATTTCCCAGCGTCGAGGCAACTCCTCCTCCTCCTCCTGCTGCTGCTGCAGCTGCCCCCAGGAGTTTCTTACTTCTTATTCACAGGGACTGAAACAATTGATGGCAGCTGCGTGCTGGGAGGGGATGCTGATTGTTGTCAGGCAGGGCAGCCGAAAAAAAAAAAAAACCAACTTAAACCAGGTTTAACTCAGACTAACAGGAATAAGAAGGTCATTCAGATGAGTGATTAACCATAGGGCCAGATCCTGGCGTTTCAGCACGGTTTTATTTAGGGTTATTTTTCAGGCAAAGCTTTATTTAAAACCCCCCAGAATTAAATCTAATGCAAAAAAAGGGGGTGGTTTGGACCTGATTCTTTGCCCAGAATTTCAGTTTACTGCAGCTGCTGTGGTGGTGGTGGGGGTGACAAGCTCTCTGTAAGGAGGGGAGTAAATTTTATTGAACTGACTGATAGATGCCAAAATCATTAGGCTCTCTTCATGCAGGCAGGATTCCACCCGCAGTGAGATGGAAGCTCTGCCTTCACTCTGCTCCCATTTACACTGATGGAAGTCAAAGGTAATTTCATTACAGCCAACATAAAGGCATTACAGACGAGGCAATTACACCTGGAAGAGATTGGTGTGAGCTGAACCCTTTCCTCTGACATTTCTGCTAATGCTGGGAACGAAATAACAAAGTACTTGTGGTAATTTTTTTCCAAATGTTAAACCTGCAGTGAGGAGAGAGACCTGTGGGTACGCCAGCCCTGAGCGCTGGGAAATCTGCTGGATTCAGGAATTCCCATGTAGCACTCTGAGAACAGGGGATAAACTGTGGGAAGGGGTTGCAGGTAAAAACTCCTTTAGCTCAGGAAAGGAGTTGTCAAGGAACTCCCCTCCCACTTCCCTAGAGATATCTGAGGGTCCTAAAACGCTCTGTGAGAGAAATGTGAAAATAAAAACCCATTTCTGCCCCCATCCATCGGTTTTCAGGGCGAGATCCTTTCTTGCAGGCTGTGTAAGGAGCAAAGGATGTTCTCATAACCCCTCAAGCCTCCTTGGGTCATATATTATTAATCAAGAAAGATCTCAGCATTCATGTGCTGCAGCAGCCCAGACTACATTGGATTTTTTACCCCCTCCTTTTGTTGGAAGAAAACACAAATTCCCACCTGTAGCTCTTCCTGGGTTGGGAGGGAAGGGAAAAGGGCTGGTCAGTGAAAGCAGGCGGTGGTTTAGCAATTGGAGCCCAGCACTGGAAGTCAGCAGGGTCACAGTTCGGGCGAGCTTTGCTGCTGTTTTGTCCTGATGAAGTTCCTCCTAAATGAGGTGATTATTGTAGCTGTCAGGAAAGAAAAGGTGGGACACATTGATTTCATCCCCACCGCAATCTCCAGGCCTGTGCTGGTCCAGAGCAGTCAATAGGAATTGCCAATTAACAAAAAAAAAAAAAAAAAAAAAAAAAAAAAAAAAAAAAAAAAAAAAAAAAAAAAAAAAAAAAAAAAAAAAAAAAAAAAAAAAAAAAAAACCTCCCTCCAGCCAGTGCAGAAACCTCTCACCATTCAAATCACCGTCCTCGGGCAAAGGCATTGGCAAACCTCACAAAAATCAGAGCAAGTGAGCTTTTTTTTTTTTTTTTTTTTTTTTTTTTTTTTTTTTTTTTTT